CTTCTCTAGAGTCTACTGGGATCCAATAAATGCTCCTGGGAGGAATGGCCCAGAAATGCTCACATTTAAGTCTGCAAAAGTTAAAGCATTAAACATATTTTAATAAAGTTAGAAATAACCGAATAGAAATTAAGCACACTAACCACAAATATTATACATATGTGTATCTATTAGAAACACATTGTTGGAGTGACAATTTTAAGCGCATTCAGAATGCTTTAAGTCAGCAGTCCCCAACCTTTTTGGCAGCAGACACTGTTTGCATGGAAGACAATTTTCCCATGGACTGGGGGAGAGGGGAGGAGGATTTGGGGGTGATTCAAGAGCATTAAATTTATTGCGTATTGATTATTATAGTGACATATCTCAAATGGGCACATCCAAAATGCTCCCTTCTGTATCTATGTGGGATGCCTCAAAGACAGTTTGAATTGTGCCCACTCCTATAATATTTCTGTCTCCATCAATTTTTCCACCTTAACAGAATTATGTCCTCCTGAGTGTGGATCTCTGCTAGAAACCGGGAATTAATAATTTAATCTGCATCTTTTTTTTTTTATCAGTTTGATATACAACTTACTTTTGAAATTTTAAATTTTACTTAATGTTAAGTTGGTAAGACATTCAACTAGTTCAAAACTCAAAATGATATAAAAATTATGTACTGTGATGTAACACACTAGCATTTCTTCTGCTGTTCTCTGGCAACTGTCTATTAGATCTGTGTGGATCCTTCTAGCTTTTCTTTTACACAAATACCAAAATGAACATGTAATCCTGTTTAACTATCTTTCCAACATAAAAGTTAGCATTTTATATGGATTATTTTGCCCCACATTTTTTTTTTACCTAATGTATTATAGAGAATGTTTATATATTTAGAAGAATTTTATTTTTGATAGTTTCCAAACTGTTTTACTATTCAAGTCCTACTCTGCTAAACATCCTCTACCCCCTACTCCAACTTCCATAAAATTCTCTCTCTCAGAAATTTACTTTGCACTTTCCTCAGCTAAAATAGGTTCCATTACCCTTAAAAACCAACAAAACAAAACTAGGCTATACATTGTCCTTTCATGACCGTCAGCAAGTTTTCTTGGAGATAAGCTCCATAAACAACAAAAGGTAATCATAAACATCACCTGACATTGGTCTCAAATCCAAATGTATGCCAAACAATGAAAATAATATGATTTAAAGACTCTTTGCATATTAAAGAATCATAAACCCAACTTTACATGTGCAGCTTTCCAGATCTGAAATCAACCACCCCAGGCATGTCCAAATGACTTTGCATGTGTCTCTCCCTTTGAATGACCTGAGAAGACTGATTTTCTTCTACAGATTCAGTAGAAAATTGGAAAAATCAAAGGTCACTGGGGACCAATAGGTTAAGTATTGATTGTTCTGGAGAGGTTAAAGGAGCAAAGATGAATGAATGGCATTTATAAAATTTTGGCATATGGAGACACACATTTTTGTTGTTGCTGTTCATATAATTCCGAAATTCTAGAGCCAGGATACATTCCTAGAAGTCAGAAAGTGAGAGTTTTAGGACAAATTAAAACAGTCATTCTTGGCCGGGTGCCATGGCAGACGCCTGTCATCCTAGCACTCTGGGAGGCTGAGGCGGGAGGATCGGGTTCAGGAGTTCGAGATCAGCCTGAGCAAAAGTGAGACCCTGTCTCTACTATAAAGAGAAAATTATTAGCCAGACAACTAAAAAAAAAAAAAACATATATATAAAATTAGCTGGGCATGGTGGTGCATGCCTGCAGTCCCAGCTACGCAGGAGGCTGAGACAGGAGGATCGCTTAAGCCCAGGAGTTGGAGGTGGCTGTGAGCTAGGCTGACACCACAGCACTCTAGCCCAGGCAACAGAGTGAGACTCTGCCTCAAAAAAAAAAAAAAAAAAAAAAAAAGTCATTCTTTACACGCCAAATAGGAAGGGTGTAGAACTCGTTTCTGGAATGGGCTATGACACGTGGACAGTATGAGTGAGTAACAAAAGGGTACTGATGTAATTAGATGATGAGTCCACAAAGGAAGTAGGAAGGAAATAGCGATGAATGATTTACATTCCTACCTTTGGAACGTGATGCTGTGATGGGCATTTGATTCACCTACGGGGGAGTTTTTATGCAGACGTTAAAGACAGAGCCCAACACTGCCACCTGTGAGTGGGTCTGAAGCAGGACTAGGTCCTTATCCAAGGCTCAGGTCTCTCCTCAAGGCTTGCTCCAGGTTAGACTGGCTACTCCAAGGTCCGGAGGTGAGAAACGCAGTGTAGTTGGGGAAGGGAAGGCGTACCTGCATGAACAGGTACCCTGTTCCACCGAGTAGTGGATTCGCCCCCAAGAGGAATAGCCTACTGGGGATGAGATGATGGAATTCAATATAAATAGTTTATTGGAAATGGGATAATAGGAGGAATTGATAGAAATAGTTTATTGGGGACAGGATGATGAAGGTTAGTATAAATATTTATTGGGAACAGGATGAAGGAAGTGGGTGTAAATATTTTATAAGGGATAGGATGACGGATGTTTATAAGGGTTACTGGGATTGGAGGATGGAAGTGGTGTGAATATTTATTGGGATAGGAGGGTGCAGCTGATGTGAATAGTTTATCAGGGGTCAGATGATGGAGGTCGGTGTGAATAGTTTATTAAGGGCGGGGCAATGGAAGTTGGTTGGCATACACAGTTTATTGGAAATAGCATGGTGGAATTGAAATACTCAAGTCTAAGTGAATTGCAGATGGACCTTTATGGCTTCATCTTGCAAGTCACGACGTTCCTCTGGAACCGTGGCCACGTGACATGGGCGTGACCACCCCCTGTGTCCTGACTTCTGTCCAGGACAAATGTCACCTTTCCTTTTTCCCTCTCCCCTGATCCAGCAAAAGGGCCATTTTCATGCCTATTTCCTGATAGTTCGCTTGGTTGTGTTACTACTTGTTTAACATGCCCGGCTATTTATTTTCACTAAAAGGATGATAAACATGGTTGTCCAAGACACATATTCACATAAGTCCCTTGTGAAGCCAAAAGGCTCTGAGGCGAAAGGCACTTAATGGATAGATGGATGGGTTGCTGGTTTCAGAGACCCAGTTTCCACTTAGGGGAGGGGAGCTACGTGCATCTGAGCGCTCCCCAAAGTGTGTTCTCTTGACGTGTCAGTAATCTCCTGCCCCCTTGGAGATGCATAGACACATCAGCATTTTAAACATTCTTGTACATCTTGCAGTAAAGAAAACACTTTGCTTTGTTTAACCCTGGGATTTCCAAACTTATTTGACATCAGATTTCTTTTTTTTTTTTTTTTTTGGTAATTGTTGGAAAACCTGTCTGAACAACCCATAGAGATTCTTGACAGTATCCTGATTTTTTATGAGGTAATTATAATAATAAGTGAGGTCCCGGTGATATGACCACCTAAAAGGTATTTTTAAAAAGTGGACAGCAAAAACATAAATTGCTAGATATTTGTGCATCATTTATGCATGATATGAGTTGGCATTCAGAAGCCTTTTTTTTTAATTTAAGCTAACTTTAAAAAAAATTGATATAGAGTCTGCTTTAGAAATATTTTCAGTTGAATTTAATAAATGCTATGTTAAGATATTTATGGATCACCATTCTAGAATATTCTTTTTTGAAAAATTTTTTTATTTTAGCATATTATGGGGGTACAAGTGTTAAGGTTATGTATATTGCCCATGCCCTCCCTCCCCGCTCGAGTCAGAGCTTCAAGCATGACCATCCCCCAAACTTTGCACATCTTACTCCTTGTATTTGCATATACCCATCCCTTCCTCCCCCATCCCACCTGCCCAACACCCGATAAATGTTATTTCTATGTGTCCACTTAGGTGTTGATCTGTTAATACCAATTTGCTGGTGAGTACATGTGGTGCTTGTTTTTACATTCCTGAGATACTTCACTTAGTAGAATGGGTTCCAGCTCTATTCAGGACCAAAACCACAATGAGATACCACTTAACTCCAGTGAGAATGGCTTTTATCAAAAAGTCCCTAAACAATAAATGTTGGCGTGGATGCGGAGAGATAGGAACACTCTACACTGCTGGGGGGACTGCAGACTAGTTCAACCTCTGTAGAAAGCAATATGGAGATACCTCTAGAATATTCTTGAATCTGTTTTGTGAATAAAAGGAAAAGCAAAAATAGCACACACCTATTTTTTTCATATTTTTCTTTTTTTTTTTAATTTCAGCATATTATGGGGGTACAAATGTTAAGGTTACGTATATTGCCCTTGTCCCCCCTCCCCTTTGAGTCAGAGCTTCAAGCGTGACCATCCCCCAAACCTTGCACACCTCACTCATTATATATGTATATACCCATCCCCTCCTCCCCCTCCCACCTGCCTGACATCCCATAAATGTTATTCCTATATGTCCACTTAGGTGTTGATCCGTTAATACCAATTTACTGGTGAGTACATGTGAGCACAAAACTCTTAAAGGTTGAGAGGCAGAAAGTAGTTTATAGCACAACAAGAGTATCTTTTCTTTTATTTCAAATGGAAGGTATTCTTAGGTTATTTGTGGGCAAGTTCCTTTGAATTCAGTCCTGTTAGGGCCCATAGGAGACAAAGACAACCCTTCCTGTCAAGGAAATGTCTGGGGATAGGAACTTGTTCCAAGTAATGAGAGAAATAAGATTTACACAGATACAAGCATAAAAGCACCTTGTATAAAAACACTACCTTAGATATGCCCAGTATAAATGCAACTGCTAGATGCCTGGTTACCCAGAGAAGTTAAGGAATTGCATTGAGTTAAAAAAACAGGGACAGATTTGGAAAGTTGATTGTCACCACCCTCTTAATACAAGAGCTACCATTTTGATAAACGCTTATGAAGTCTCAGAGGGTTGTTTGACAAAATAAAACACTCCACCAGCTGCTCTGAATCAAACAGTCCTCCAAACACTTATTCCGTCTATTAATTATTTTTTCCTCGTTTCACGAAGCTAACTCATGGGCTCCTGCGAGATACGAATTGTGTTTTAGTGGAAGAGTGCTCGCTCACAGAAGAAATCATGAGAGGTAGCTTCCCTGGATTGGCACTTACGTCTGCAGCCCACTAATATCAAGTAAACAGCTGAAGCCAAGATCAAGAATTGTCATTATCCACCATGTGAAATATTAAAATGCAATAAGTTAAAACATGAAAATATTTAAATTATGATGTATACATATAATAAATTGCATACCTTCTCTGTTGACCAGATATGCCTTCATAAATCACTCGAACTTGATAATTAATCAAAATTGATTTCCTTTGTAGTCTCTCTGCAGGCTTTGCTTGGGAAGTCCAGTCCTTTGATATCTTTTGTAGGTACAGGTGGCAGAGCAGCTTCTTGTGAAAGGTGATTTAAGGTGCCTTTTGATTTAGAATCCAATCTACCTCTGTGATTGTTCCTCCTGATTTTTATTTAATTTGTAAAATTAAGACACACTTAACAATTACCAGCAGCTTGGGTTGGAAATATGCCTGATGTACTCCCAGAACCTCATAACCCTTACTTTTTGTAGCCAGTTGACTTACTGCTGATGTCACTGGTGGGCATAGCAACATGGAAAACTAGCTTGAATAGGGATTTTGTTAGTGTCATCTCTTTTTAATGGCATTTTTTTCTTTTTGCCAGACCCACATCCATTCTTCATTGGACGCTTTTTCTCTGTGCTGTTGATTTCACGAATTACCCTATTTGACAAAAATTTCATAGGAAGAATCAATATTTTATATTGATTTAGCTGAATGTAGGGGAAATATCAATATTCAGTAAAAAGTAAGAGCTGAGCAAAGCTGGAATTGATTTCTTCATAGATAAGACAAGTTTTATATCTAGAACTCACTCGCTGTGTTTGCTGGCCCGTTGGAAGACCCATAGTCAAGACATGATCCTAAAACCAGACATGGAGGCTCACGCCTATAATCCTAGCACTTTGGGAGGCCAAGGCAAGGAGATGGCTTGAGGCCAGGAGTTCGAGACCAGCCTGAGCAACATAGTGAGACCCCCGTCCCTACAAAATATAAAAGAAAAAATTAGCCGGACTTGGTGATGAACGCCTGCAGTCCCAGCTAGTCGGGAGGCTGAGGCAGGAGGATGGCTTGAACCCAGGACTTTGAGGCTGCAGTGAGCTATGATGACACCACTGCACTCCAGCCTGGGCGACAGAACAAAACCCTGACTCAAGGAAAAAAAAATAATAAAAGCATAATCCTAGAGACATTCTAGCATTTGAACTCCCCAAATGATTACTTTAACCTGTTTTGAAATGTACTGTGAGATTTTTTTCCTGGAGTTCCAATAGGAGAGTTTGAGGTGATAGCACTCACTTGCCTTTTGAAACTTGACATTGCAGCTTTATTCTGCTTGATATTAGTGGCGATTTAGGCGATTTATTTCTCTTTGTCTATTTTCAACCTTATGTTCTTTCAAAGTTCACCTGGGAGGATTTTATTTGGTGTATGCAAGATAGGATAGTTTTTCAGTATATTCCTTTCCTGGTGAGTTTAATTTTAACCATTATATTCCGATATGCTGTCTCTGTAATAATGATTTTTATCCCGACACCTTATAATATTAACCCAGGTACGATAATAGAGTTTGGGTTACTATTTTCCTGGAGTACCTTTGTTTTTTCTCTCCTTTTACGTTGAATCTTTCTGTGTGGACTTATGTTTTAGGGGTGGCCTTTTTAAGCAGCACATAATAAGATGTTTCAGAATCAAACCTCAATTTCTCTCTTTAGCAGTTGAATCGAGTTTATTTACGTTTACTCTTTCTGGTTTTATTTCTCTTATCTTAATTGGTGCTTTCTGTTTGTCCTGCGACTTCTATGCTTTCTTTTCTCCTTTAAAGAGTGATTTTTATTGTTTGTGAATCTTGATTTATGTAACTCCAATTTCCTTTCTATTGGTTTGGAAGCTTTCACTCTATTTCAATCCTGTCTATTCTCCATTATCCTTACATTTTTAAAATATTTAAACATAGAGTTTAAATTCAATCTGTTTTTCTACCCTCCTATTAAATATCACAAGACGTTTGGAACATTGAATTCCAAGCTCTCCCTGACATCTTCTAAGTCCTCCCTTCCCTTCCTCTCATATTCTGTTTTATGTTTTGTTCCTCTCCAAATTAGACATTACTATTTTTGCCTTACAAAATTAATATCTGTCTAGATGTCTTTGCATTTACTAATTTTTTTTTCACTCTCTATTCTTTATTGTGTCTCAATTATTCCAATTTGAGTGGTTCTTTTCTCTGACGTAAGTGCTTTTCTTTGGCCAAAACGGGCTTTGTTTCACTCGTTTTTCTTGACTCGTAGGTATACTGTTTTTGCAGCAGATAACAGGTATACAGTTGGAAGTTGGCAGTAATGTTCTCATAGGATTTTGGATACACTCGATTCCACTGCCTCCCAGGCTTCCATTACTGGGGTTGAGAAGCCTTAGTCTGCCCGATAATTGATTTTTGTAAGTAAGGGCTCCTTCCCACCCCCAGCATGTTCGACATCATCCTCACAACCTCTGTGATTCGCCGGAACCCTGTGTTGTGGCTAAGTGTGCATGTCTTCTTGATTTACCTTGTTTGTAAATTATTGAGCTTTCTGAATCTGAGGAGTCGTTGCTTTCATAAATATTAGATCTTTCCAGATACATTTGCTCCCCCTTGTTGCTTTCCTACTTGCTTTCTTCTTTTGTTTTGTTTTGTCCTTCATTTTTTGGAGGTTTATTTAGGATAGGATGTGATGCATGTCAGAACTTGTTTTTCCATCCTTAACATCTTTCCTGCCTTTGTTTTCCATTCTTTGTCTCTTTGCATACTATTTCTAAGATATAATTTTTAATAGACTAGTAATTTTCTCCCCCTCTGTCTAGTCTTCTGTTTAACCTGCACTTTTTAATTTTAATCTTAACACATAGTTCCAGATGTTCTATTTGATCATGTCTTTTTTTTCCCCAAATCTACTTTGCCTTGTTTTATTCTTTTTTTATTTTATTTTAATACTATATTCTACCTTGGTTCCTCATCTGTTTCTTGCTTTGTTTCTGTAAACATTTGCAACATATTTGCATTTCCATTCTATGTTTGAGCATTCCAACAGCTGAATGCCTCGGAAGACCTAACCTGCCTTTGCTTCCATGGCTAATTCTTGTTGGTGGTGTCTTCTCCCTTGTGTGGTTTTTGGTTTTGTTTTAATTCAGGATATTATGGGGGTACAACCCTTGTGTGGTTGTTAATTTGCGTTTGCATGCTTGTTGACCTGGGTTCCTCTGGGAGAACTCTTCTGCCTGTCCTGAGGGTGCATCACTGCAGGGGAAGAGACACCTTCCAGGTTCCAGGCCCCCTGTGTGCCACCAACACGGGGACATTTTAAGTTAACTTATTGTCCTGGATCTTACTAAATCAGGCAGCAAAGGTAAGGTCGAACCCTCAAACCTTTGCAAGGACAATTCTGTAATCACACGTTTTTAGGAGAGACATTTTTTCCCCCAGAATGAATTTCAGATCCAAAGGGTACATTTCCCTGTTATTTCCTTCTATCAGCAGCTGGATCTTTTCTCTAGTCTGACTTCTCACTGGTGGAATACACTTTCAAGTTTTTGGCTGCAGGAAGCATTCTCAATTCCAGCTCCGTCCTAGGTACAAGGTCAAGGTCTTAGTTACTGTCTGTCCTAAGAACAACTAATTCCCTAAGAGACGTTTTGAGTCCTCTGAATGGTCTGGTTTTTTGTCCTGATACATTTACACCCCTACCAATTAATTACTTGTGCTTTCTTATACGCAGTTAGGTGTTTTAAAAGAACATTATACTTTTTCTAGGACTTCCAGGTTTTCTTTAGTGGGAATGCTGTTTGGGCACAACTAGTCTGCCATACCGCTGCAAGTTCACCTCCTACAGTTTTTTGTCTCCATTAATTCCACCTGAACCTCCCATTCTCCTTCTTCCCTGAATCACACACCAGTAGCTTCTCAATGAGCCTCATTGGGAACTCTTCCCTATGTCTGTCTACTGGCAATTTCTTCTATGAGGTTAATCTTACTGAAATGCTTCACTTATATCCCACTTCTGTGCTCCAGACCCTACTATATGTTCACCTTGTTAAATTATAGATACACATTTCTCCTGGCTTTCTGGATCTCATGTAGTTTTCACCTCTCTACTTACAGAAACATGTGTTGATTCTTACCCAGCGTGCAAACTCTACTGTCGGCTACCTGTTTAAAGCAAGGTCTCTCAAAAAATTTCCTTCTAACCCGTAATTGCCTTTGCTCCTTTTCTGCTGTAGAATGGCCTCTCTTCTTCTTTATTTTGGGGTAAATCCTAATCATTCTGCAAATCCCACCTTGTATATGAGGGTTTTACTGATCGAGGTAGCTCCGACCCTCATAAAACCGTGAAGCATTTATTGTAACTGCTTTGAAGTAGCAGGTAAACACACTCAGATTTTTATAGTCTATTGTTTTATGGGCACTCGCTTTGTCTTCCCCAATTACTTCTAATTGTAACGAAGGATTTTTAAAAATGATCCATTAATACCCCAGTGCCCAGCATAATGCTCGTTGTACTTAATAGAATGGCGGCTTAAGACATGCTTTTAACATGATATATTTAAAGTAAATGTAAACTAATGTTCCTTTATGGGTTTTTTTTTCTCTTAGAATTAAGAACATGGCATCATCCCTTCAATTAATTAGGATACCACCTGCTAGGATTGAGGACCGTTGGGTTCCCATCAGACCCACTTTTGAACTTGAAGCATGAGGGCCTAAAACATGCCCCATGTCCCCAGATCTCTCTGTCTGTCCCTCTCCCTAAGACCACTAGCTTCTGCGGCAGATGCACCACGTCTCATCTCTCTCAGTTTCCCCAGTACTTAGCACAATCTGTGACTCTAATCAGAACTCAATAAATATTCATCAAGCATATGGCTGGATCATTACTCCCAGGACTACTGAGATACAGCCCGTCTCCATCCTAATATTGCTTCTTTCTCGAGCACACTCAGTGCAGGGAGCTCCTCCCCTCCGACCGGCTTTGGTCCCACAATCAGCTCTCGATTCAGTAATAGGAGGTATCCAGTTAGAGACAGAAAATTTGAAGAAAAATCATCTTGACTTAAATTTACATCTTTTT